GATCAGTACTGATCAGTGAAATTTTGATAAATGTCGGGTATTCCCACTTTGATCGGTTTGAATAAACCCATGATGTCATATTGTCTTTTGGTTTTTTTTTATCCTGTTATCTTCTGTATATTAATATATAATATATCGTATTCCATTCCAAACACATTTCATGATATTTCCCTAACATGGTCTAACATTTATAATTATACATGTTTCTAACATGCATAGTTGTATATTCTATGCGGCTTCCCAAAACATCCTAGAATGTGATTGGATTGATAATATGATATAATCCTTTGTTTGGTTCTTATCCATATCATTATATAATTGATTCGTCGGTCTCAGATTTCCAGCCACTTCTTGTAGCCTGCCGGGCAGCACCAAGGTCGTGGAAGGTTTCATGTCTCAAGGTCTCATGTGCACCTCAGCTGCGTTTCCTGCCGCCTAACCAGTCATGCTCACGCGATGTAACATCCATGGTTGCTGCCTGGTGGTGTATGGTCATATAATTGATGGAGAAAACACTATTGTATAGCTTAATGTAACACCATTATGTCATGCCATTGAACTATAACGCCATGTAACACCACTGTATGATCATATCATTCATCAACACCTCAAAAACATAGAATGGATATTTCACCTGGAAAGTGATGAGAAAGGACCCCAAAATCATAAACAGCTGGAGGAGTTTTTAGTTTGAGGTGGTACTTAGTATTAGGGTGCGATTTTTCCCCTAATATTAAACACCTTAATATTAAAAAAATAGGTTTTTCTATTTCAAAATCGAGTCAATTTCCTTTAACATTTTAATTAAAACATGGATAGATATTGCAAAAAAATGAATTTGAATATTAACTAAGGGACTTCTTTTCGATCTTAAAAGACGGACCCTAACAAAAAACGCCCCGGGCTTGACTAGTTATTATTAGTATTAGGGTGTGAAACCTTCAAATGGGTCCTTCATGTTTAATTTGTTTTCGAAAAGGGATCAATTCAAAAGCAAATTGGCCAGTCTGAAGTTTCCCAAAAATTCGCGCGGACCGTTGCGGACCCTAGTTTCAAAATTTCGGGTACATTTAGCAAAAGGAGGTAGGGACGGTAGGTCTTTTCAGAAGCTTCAATTTTGATACCCACTCAGTAGTCCAGTCCTTGCGGCTGGCATGCTTTGGCAAACAAATCCTAATGGCGTTCGTGAATTTGCACTTTCTTTTCAAGTTCTTAAATCATGTAAAATCACTCAAATCCTGTCAAATCCCACGTTATCTTTGGGTTACTTCTCATTTTGGAATGTCAAATTTCGATAAAATCCATCTGAAGGTTTCCAAAGTCATGCCGGTACCCCCAATTCATCCAGCCATTCGACCAATACAGTACCATTTTAATACTGGTTGTTGGTTTGGAACCATGGCTTTTATGGCTTTCCATTCAGTTGGGAATGTCATCATCCCAACTTTTCCGAAGTCCATCATTTTTCAGAGGGGTTGGTTGAAACCACCACCAACCAGAGAATCATTAACCATCATTAACCATTAATAATAACCATGAATATTAACCATCAACCAATGGTAGGTAGGTCAACCACCAACCAGCCATTATTAATCAATGATTAACCACTATTAACCACCATTTTCCTATGGTTTTCCTATGATTTTCCTATGGTTTTCCTATGGTTTTCCCATTAAAATATCCATCATGGTGCCTCGAAGACCATGGTGACTTGGGGATGACCCATCCCACCGAGGCGCTATGGTCGGAGACGGCGGCAACGATTCTGGCCGCTGGGCGGGCGCCGTTTGTTTTCTTTGGGACGGGTTGAAATCTTTGGAAAACCATCGGAAAATGGAGGTTTTCATGGGAAAACAATAGGAAAACCATAGGAAAACCATCAAAAATATGGAGGGTTTCAACGATCAATCCATGGAGGTTTCAACTGGAATTAGTGGGTTTTGTTACCATCAAAACAAAAAAAGTTGTGAGTTTGTTTTTACCAACACGAATTGGGAATCTGATGCGGATTTGCTACACGATTGAGGGGATTTCCTGGTGATTTACTAGATTTACTAGGTAAATGGCTATTGAATGTTGATTCAATCGGACATTCGGAAATGATCTTGTCTTCACTACTAGCGGTTGTGTTTGATATGGGATGCAACATGATGGTGAATGATGCAACTAGATGTAAAAGATATAGGACATACATGGAGGTGTCCAAAAATGGGGGTTACCCCTAGTCATCATCCATGTTATTCCATGAGATAAACCCTCTAACTATGGGTGTTAAATTTCTTCGTGGGCTGCGTTGCTAGAATTCAAAAATTTGGCTTCAACAAGTGCTTTTGTGCGCTTTCTGGGCTTAAATTTTCGCTTTTGGGACCGAGGGGTGCTTTGCAAGCACTTCTTCAAGTTTTAGCTTCACCTATCTTCACCTACTTTTCATTTACATATTGATTTAGTGGTAAATATTTAACAACAAGTTGGTTTCACCTACTTTTCGCCTACTTTTCACCTACTTTTATCTACCGTTCACCTACTTTTCACTTACTTTCTGTTTCGACATGTAAGTATGCAAAGTTGCTAGTTTCATCAACTTTTCACCTACTTTTCTTTTGCTTCAAATGTAGATAAACAAAACTATTGGTTTCATTGATTTTCACCTACTTTTCACCTACTTTTCACCTACTTTTTGTTTCAAAATTAAATAAGTAAATTTTCTACGTTTTCTGCATTTCACCTACTTTTCACCTACTTTTGACTTACATCTTGCTTTCATGGTATTTTTTATTTAAAATTGCTGGTTTCATTGACTTTTCATCTACTTTTCACCTACTTTTCCCCTCTTGCTGTTCATGGCAAATATTTGAAATGGTTGGTTTCATCTGCTTTTCACCAACTTTTGTTTTAAAAGTCAAAAGGTTGAATTTTCTATGTTTGCTGCTTTTCACCTACTTTTCACCTACTTTTCACCTACTATTTTCACCTACTTTTCACCTACTTTCACCTACTTTTCACCAAAGAAGTGCTTTTGACGTTGTTTTTGGTGAAAATTAAGTGCTTTTCACCTTAATTTTCACCAAAATAAGTGCTTTTGACCTACTTTTCACCTACTTTTCACCCACTTTTCACCTACTTTTCACTTACTTTCCTTTGACACCACAGCTTGAGTAAAAGCACTTCCTGGGTTGTGATTTTTGTTTTTTTCTACTTTCCCCCTACTTTGTGGGCTGTGGACAAAGTAGGTGATCATTTTTTCACCAACTTTTAGCCAGCTTCCTTCTTTGACATGTAAATAAGGAAAACTGGTGGTTTCACCTAGTTTTCACCTACTTTTCACTGATTTTTTTTGTGTTGAATTTAATTAGGTAAAACCGATGGTTGCACCAATTTTTACAATTGTTCACCTACTTTTCACCTACTTTTGATGCTGTGGCATGTAAGTATGCAGAATTGCTGGTTTCACAAACTTTTCACTTACTTCTCACCAACTTTTCACCTGCTTTCCATTCACACCTTGCCTTCCTTTCATGGTAAATATTTAAAATTGCTTGCTTCACCTACTTTTCACCTACTTCTCACCTACTTTTCACTTACATCTTGCCTTCATGGTAAATATTGAATATTGCTGGTTTCACCTACTTTTCACCTACTTTTCACTTACTTCCTGATCTTAATTTAACTAAGTAAATTTGATGAATGCACCAGCTTTTCATAAACTCTTCGCTTACTTTCTGTTTTACATCTATGTAGTTTCGGCCACCGCCACAAGAAACTTGGGCCTCAGGTGACCACACAAACACACACACATAGCGCTTTATATGTCCACAAGTGCTTTTAATCTGGTGGGGACATTACAAAAGCACTTCTTTGAATCTGGGCTTCACAGCCATGTTGAAAGCACTTCTTCCAATGAAAAACGAGGGGCCGAAGAAAATTAACAACTATGGGTTACCCCCATGGAAGGGAAACCCCCACATGTCTGGTGACCCAAGGCGCGTTGCGAACGGCACACGTCGGGCACCTTGTCAGCATGGTGGGAAAGCTAGCTAAGTTCGTAGGTGGACCCCTTAAAAAAAAAACTTGTTGCATTTTGCTGATTTTAACCAGTTGAACAAATTTGATTTATGATGGGATTAAATGGGATTTACGGCGGGATTTATCCTCTGAAAAAATATGGGCCTTTCAGTGATTCAACCGACAAGAAAAGGGATTTGATGGGATTTGGACTTGATTTATTTTATGGTTGGCTAAGTTGATGATGAGCGTTTGCTTTTATGGGGATATAGCTGGAAACAATGGCAATTCCTTGCTCGAAAATAAAGTTTATTGTTGGGATTTCACGGCATTCATATCCGTTATGATTGGATATATAAGCAACAATCATCATTGAAAAGGCTTTACTCAACCAACATTGCATTGGGAGTTAACCATCAAAAATACGCGAATACGAGTACTATGAGATAGCATGGGGGTAGATAGCGGTTCAACCAGCAATGACAATGGGCCAAATAATGGGGATTTCACCTATGAATGCAGATTTCATTAAGAACACATGGTGGCATAATGGAACATGATACGGGAACATAGTTGGAACATAATGGTGACACAAACATGGGATTTAATATGATTTAATATCATTTAAGTGTTTTGTGAGTATATGGTGGAAAACAATTAGTGATTTAATGATATATCTGGGCAAGCATTAACCATGATGGGAATATATTTTCCTTGTGATTTAAACAAGAAATTGGTCTCAACCAACATCTTCAACTACGGTATGTTACGGGAATCCTTCAAGGCTCCATGAATTTTGATGTACCCAGATTTATGTTTGATTCTTGGGTGAACATCAGCCAATACAAATGAACAGTGCACCATGAACATCCATGAACTAGTTTTGATATATCTACCATCAACCCAAGTATAAATACCAGTGTAAACCAACTTAGCTAGCAAACTGGGTCCTATGATCAACGTATCTCCATGACATCCCACATTCCTAGCTGTGTCGT